CCCCAAAACCCCAAAACCCCAAAACCCCAAAACCCCATTAGTGCTTTCATGAATTGAAAACAGTTATATAATTTAATCTAGATCTGGAAAAATATACCTGAGATGGTAAGATTAGCATAGTTAAAGCAAAGAGTACCCTTTAGTCCTCTTCATTATCAGCCTCATCGCAGTATTCGTCAGTAGGGGCTTCAGAAAGTTGGTCTGGTTTGGCATCAATCTCATCAATCGGGTCCAGCCGTTTCTCCTTTTCAATCTTAGCGATCTCTTCAGCTTGCTTGATTTCCTTTTGCTTTTTCTTCTTCTCCTCATGATTCTTCATCTCCCGTATAGTATGCTTTTTAAGAGTCTCATTGCTAGTGATGAGATAGATAGCGGAGGAGAACTTCTTACTCTTGAGTTTGAAGAAATAGTCATATAACTGCACACCATCCTCTCTGCTGTAAACTGTAACAAAAGCTTTCAATTGATTATTCTTAGGATTTGTGATCTTGATTTTGTCATAATTCAATATGACATGCTCCTTCTTCATCTTTTTCTGCTTCTCTCCCTCTTCAGGTTTGAACTGGGAAGCTTTGAAAAAAGCAAGAAGTTTAGACTTTAGTTTCTCAGCTGGGATTGTATTTCCATCCTTATCCGCCTCTGCCAGTGTCTCTTTAGGTTCCTTACTCTTCTCTATAGCTTGTTGTAAGACCGGAAAGCATGATTTTGCTATCAAAATTTGACAATTTCAGGATTGCACATTGACAATTATTTCAAAAGTAATCATTAAATCTCATCAACATTTATCATTTTAATGAATTCTTCTATTCGGAAAACAACCAAGATATGTAAAATTTAATTATGGGAGTAAATTCCACCACTCAGATGCAAGAATTTATGAAATATTCACAAGGCATACATCTGATATAATTTAGGCACTATCATGCCATTGTTTGTCAGGAAAGTCAAGAAAAGTTACATAAAATGAACCTACTTTTTGACACCCGATGGTGGTATTGCAGCTGTAGCTTGAACAAGAAGGGGCCTTCCTCCTCACGAATTAAATCTAGTATAAACTTCTTCTTATTTTTATAATATTTTTCATATTTTTCCTTCCACTTCTTAGTATATTTGTTCTTATATTTCTTCTTTTTCTTACCCTTATTTGACCCGTCTTCTACCTCAGTCTTGAAGTCTTCTAGCTGGGTCGACTCACACTCTTTTGACTCTTGAATGTCTTTTAAGGCGAGGTCGATCATTTTCTTCCCTTTTCCTCTATTTTCGCCTTTTCTTACTGACAGCATCATTATCACTAATCTTAGTCATGGCTCTTGTTGTGGTACTTGAGTATGAGCTCTGCTTCTGTTTCTCTTCCTCGATCTTACCATAAATCACAGTCGGATCATAATCATCACTCACATCTACATCACTGAGCTCAAAGCCATAGCTTGTCTTTGAGTCTTCAGACTTTGAAGTGGATGAATCAAATAAGTCCCAGTCAAATGAGATGTATTTCTTGATATCTGTCTTCTCCATATTTTACGATAGGAGATTATATAATGTTTATTGAATTTTCAATATTTTCTAAGGTTATTGGGGTTTTGGGGTTTTGGGGTTTTGGGGTTTTGGGGTTTTGGGGTTTTGGGG